TCCGAGAACTTCTCAGAGGAGGCCATCCTTGAGCTGGGCCTCAGAGGATGGGTGGAGATAGGCGGAGTATGGAGGTGTTTTGTGTGAGACAAAGGGTGTGGAACAAAGGCTTAAGGCAGGAATGAGCATGGTCTGGATAGGGGACAATCCAGAATCAGTTTGGCTGCTGGGATGTGGTGGGGCCTTGAATGCTGAGCAAGAATCCAGACTGTGCCGAGACGGGGTGAGGGTGGCATGAGGACTTCGGGCTTCAAGCAAAGAGAGTGGAGAGAGAGCAGGGCTGGGGCTGGACAGGGGAGACCTGAGTTCAGGGTGCAGTGTAAAGACTCGGGGGGTCCTACTTCCAGGGTTCGAGGAAGAAAGATGACAGACCGCCCTGGATGAAGGAGGGACTAGATTGTGATCTGCCCCCAGAGACCGGCCAGCTCCCCTCCTGCCTTCTAATTTTTGAGCTTTCTCAACAGGACCCAGGCCATTGGCAAGTACTAGGTCTTTCCTGAGATCTCACCTCAGGCTTTGCTTGCTTCTACCAGTAGCCTTGAGTCTGAGTGGCAGGTGTGAGGAGGGATGCCTTCTGTGACTTGGGCTCCCCGCCTCTCTGGTTGCAAAGCCCCACAATGGGGGAGGGAAGAGGTCTGTCCATCCCAACCCATCTAAACATCAGATCAGAGGCTCCAAGTCTCCCAGTGCCCCAAACTCTGGAGGCCCTTCATCACCTGTGAGATCAGTAGGGGACCAGGTCCTGCCCCACCTGCCAGAGCTGCCACCTACCCCGCCCCCCCCCCCCCAACCACTGGCCAGAGCTACTGAGCAGCTCAGCCCTGGGGTCAGGTTTGGGCTGAGTGGCTGGGTACCTTGAGTGCATATCTGTGCACAGATGGGTGGCAGGGTCTCATGGGAGTGAGCCAATGTGTTGCTCACAGTTCACTGCAGGTAGGTTGGAGGTACGTACAGGTATGTGTGTGCAGGTGAGTAAGATGAGGTGCAAGGTGTCATTAACTGTGCTGGGAGGCCCAGTTTTCTTGTGAAGAACTGTCTGCTCTGGGGTGGGGTTGGGGTGAGGGTGTTACTTAGGCAAATGGACACACACATGCTCATTCCCCTGCCCAGCTCGACTTGCCCAGGAAGGACCCTCCCTCCCCCCGCCCCAGCCTGGACTGGCTGGCAGGCCCCCAGCCACACAAAGCCCAGCTCAAGGCCCCCTGCCCAGCTGTGTTGTCTGCCTCGTGGCAGGGAGGGGGTGCAGAGCTGTCCTGAAACAGGAAAGCAGAGCAGCTTTGCAGCTTCTGCTCAGGGGGAAGGCCAGTGAGGAACCTGGATCGGAATGGGAACAATCAAGGAAGCAGGGGCTTATCGGACCCCCACGCTGTCTCTGCCTGGTGGTTTCTCTCTACATACCAAAGACAGGAAGTTATGTCTCCAAGAGTGGTAACTGACCTCAGGTCACACTTGGTGGGTTTGGGAAGGGATTAAAATGCAGGTCTGTTCTCCTCTCCATCCATCATTGTCCGTCCTGGGGGCAAGTGGTCTGGAGCTGAGAATGCTTCACTGTTGCCACTGATTGAAATTCCAAGGGTGGGGGTCAGGGGTGAGTTGGGGATGGGCCTCCCGCTTGCCTGGAACAGGAGGGGGTGTTGAGGTTGGGAAGGCAGGTTGGGCAGAGCCTGGAGGATGGGAGCAGAGGGCTTGGGCTTCATCCCACTCCCTGTGGGAGCCTTGGGAAGGTTTTCTCAGCAGAGTTATATTGTCATTTTTGGAAAGATCTTTACGGCTGCTTAGGAATTAAGATGGGACAGGACTAAAGAGGCGGCTGCTTCAGTGTCCAGGTAGGAAGAAGCCTGGGCAAGGGCAGCCAGAAAGAAAGGGAGGCTGTGCAGTAACACTGACCATTTGAGCAGAAACTTGGTATCAAGCAGGCAGAAGGACATGACTGCGACTGGGTCTCAGACCTGGGATAGAGTCCCCACCTTACTGTGCTGGCTGAGTGACTTTGGGAAGCAACTTAGCAAGACTAGGTCTCAGTTTCCTCCTCTGTAAAGTGGGGCTCATAAGCCATGATCGATGGGGTTGCTATGGGGAGTCAGGGAGATGACAGCTGTGAAAGGGTTGATGCTCAAGTGCTCAGCCAGGGGGCAAAGCCTGCCAGAGTTGGGCCTAAGAGAGGAGGGAGGGCTGCTGACTGCTGGTGGGTTGGGTGTCAGGCCTGGATCCCATCTGGTCCCTGGTGATCCTGGGGTTGTCTCAAGCTGGACTAGGCCACAGTGGGAGTTCACTGGCTACCCTGCCCTGGCCAGGCTGTGACTCTGGTTTTGGCAAGGAGGCGGCCAAGAAGCTAGATGCCATGGGCTTCAGGGTGCTGGCCACTGTGTTGGACTTGAATAGCCCCGGCGCCCTAGAGCTGCGTGCCTGCTGTTCCCCTCACCTAAAGCTGCTGCAGATGGACCTGACCCAAGCCGGGCGACATCAGCCGTGTACTGGAGTTCACCAAGGCCCATACCACCAGCACAGGTCAGTGGGCGGCTCCCGGAGAAGTGTGGCAGGGTGGATGTGAAGGGGCAGGGATTGTAGGTTTTGCTGCTGGGCTGACCCATCATTTCCCTCCCTGCTCCATGCCCTCAGGCTTGTGGGGCCTGGTCAACAACGCAGGCTTCAATGATATAGTGGCCGATGCGGAGCTGGCTCCCTTGGCCACATTCCGCAGCTGCATGGAGGTGAACTTCTTTGGCACACTGCAGCTCACCAAGGGCCTCTTGCCACTTTTGCGCCGTTCCAGGGGCCGTATTGTGACCCTGGGCAGCCCGGCAGGTGAGTGCATTCCCACGCTGCAGCGAAAAAGGAGCCCCTCCGTGGGGCGGGATGTGGGAGTCACCAGCCCAGGCTGAGCTCCCCCCCCAATCCATCCCCAGGAGACATGCCATATCCATGCTTGGGGGCCTATGGGACTTCCAAAGCGGCTGTGGTGCTGCTCATGGACACGTTCAACTGTGAACTTCTGCCCTGGGGGGTCAAGGTCAGCGTCATCCAACCTGGCTGCTTCAAGACAGGTGAGGGTCAGGGTTGGGGGGCAGGTCACAGTCTGGGGCTGGAAGAGGGGTGACTGTGGGGCCAGGGACTGGTTGGAATGGGCGTGGCTTTGGCAGGAAGTGGGTCACTGGTGAGTTGGCTTCCCTAGCTGACCCCTGGCTGATTTTATTACTTTTTCTCCAGAGTCAGTGAAAAACGTGAGCAACTGGGAGCGGCGCAAACGGCTGCTGCTGACCAGCCTGCCCCAAGAGCTGCTGCAGGCCTATGGAGAGGACTACATCGAGCACGCACACGGGCAGTTCCTGCACTCGCTGAGCCTGGCACTGCCCGACCTCAGCCCGGTTGTAGATGCCATCATCGATGCACTGCTGGCAGCTCATCCGCCAAGCCGCTATTACCCGGGCCGCGGTGTGGGCCTCATGTACTTCATCCACTACTACCTGCCCGAGGGCCTGCGGCGCCGCTTCCTGCAAGCCTTCTTCATCAGCCCCTGTCTGCCAAGTGCACTGCGGCCTGGCAAGCCTGGCTCCACGCCCACCCAGGATGCTGCCCAAGACCCAGACCCAAGCCCAGGCCCTTCCCCCACAGTGGCCCAGTGAGCAGTGTGCATCTCTGGTCTCGGCTATTCCAGCAGAGGATGTCCCATGAGCCCTGGGGCCTCCCCTGGGCGTTGTGACCTAGTCTGTCCTAGAGCCTGGCCTCAAGGGCCCTAGCCCACCCACTGCCCAGGTCAGGCCTGGTGAGGCTAACGCTTCCCAGTGAACCTCTGGGCCTCTCTACTGCTTCATGAGCCCAAACGGGGAGCACACGGCTCGCCCTGCAGCTTGGAGAACCCAGCTGGACGGGGAGTTCAGTGCAAGATGTAGCTGTAGCCTTTGACAGGTTCCCGTAGTCAGTGCCTCTGCAAACGAAGTGACAGGGTAGGTTGGGGACCCCCTCAGGTTATTTCTCAGCACGAGGCCTCAGTGCTGCGATTCAAAGGGTAAATCCCAACTGTTTCTTGACTGGCTCAAGAATTAGGGCCCTGACCACCCACCCCAAGCCCCAGGGAGGCTGCACATTCTACTTGCCTGATTGCCATTTTTAAATAAATGTCTATTTCTCCTAGAATGGGGGAGACCTGTGTTTGGAGGGGTGACAGGCTGTGTGACATACTGGGAACTGCCTGGGGAACCTCTGGGGCTCAGCATGGGGGACGAGGCTCCGGGTACAGACTCTGGTTCTCACCTTCTCTCTTCACTGACCCGGACAGATCATTTATCCAGAGGTTTGGGTTTCCTCCTAGTGAAATGGGGGTGATAACCTTGGCCTGGGGAATGGGGGAGCTCAATGAAGCCAACAGGGAGGCCTGGGGGCTCTCCCCCAGTGGCACCCCCATCCTGAGGAATCTGGCCAGCCTGGGACTGCCACTGCTAGCGACTGAGGGAGGCAGAAGGCTTAGGCAGGCGGGGGTGGGCTCAGTAAGGGTGAACCCAAGAGGAGCTGGGAGCCCCAAAGGAGAGAGCGGACACGGGGCTTAGGGCAGTTTATTGTTCAGAGGGGCAGGGCTGAGGGAGAGGGACGCACAGCTGCTTCCCCCAGGCCCCAAGGACACACACACACAGTTTCCCCTGGGCCATGGTTCTGGGGGTGACCCACAGAGGGGACAAGAGGCTCACGCTGCTACTAGGGGTTCTCATTCTGGAGGGGCACAAAAGTGACCACATGCTTCTCAGACATGTGGGTGGCTGTAAACAGGGCTTGATCTGGACGGGGCGCTTGGTCTATCCTCGGTCAGGGGAGCAGGCACCCAG